TTTTTGCGGTACCGGGGATTGAACTCAAGACCCTGCACTTGCAAAGCAAGCACTTATTCTACTGAGCTATCTCCCTAGCCCTGGAGGGTCAGGATTAACCTAACAGTCTGGAGTCCAGTTTAGAAAGTTATCCAAATCGCCATTTCCCAGCACCGAGAATTGCCTCTACTCTGACTCCCACTGCATGGCACTTAAGCACATGCCACTCTGTGGAACCTTGGGAGGCCCCACACCCCTGGATAGCCCTCTCATCCTCTCACCTTTGATTCAAGAGCCACCACCCCAGGACTCTTCCCGTATGCTATCCTAACACAGTCCTGATCACAGGTGTTACTTTGTTTAATCACCTGCTTGCATCCACCTGCTGCTGCAGACCAGGGCCTCTAGGAGGCCAGGGGTGTCCAGGCATGTGGTCACATGTAAGCGGGTGTGGCCTCTTCCTAGCCGGTGCTCTCTCCCCATACCTGCCCAAGGAGCCCAGCCATATTGGGCTTTCTTGTTTTCTGTTTGTTCTCATTCTCCTAGTTTCATGACCACCAGCTTCTCCCTTTTCTTAGTCCTAAAACCTATCATTCCTTTCCTCCTGTATCTACCCCTCCTCCTGTGACTAGTCCTTGCCCCCTGTCAGATGACTGAGCAGCTTCCCAGGCCCTGCATCTGGTCACAGCACTGTCTGCATCCCCTCCCCATGGCCTAAAAAGTAAAATTCTGGCTGTCCTTTGGTGCTCCTCTCCACACGGCCCCTGTGCCCACACATACCGCCTCCCTGTTTGTCTCCCATTCATCCAGAAGCTTGTGGGAAGTGGGATCAGGTAGTCTGACTGACCAGCCCTTTTCTGCCTAGTCATGGGGAGTCACGCAATCCTTCATCCCGCCTGCTCCTTTGGGCCCTTCCAGCTTCAGCTGCCCTCAGCACCCACCTGGCCAAGCTGCACTGTAATGTGTGCATCCATGTGAAGACGCAGATGCACCTCCCTGCCTGCACTGGCCAGGGCAAGGCTGGGGGCTCCACCCTGTCTGCTGCAGTGCTCGAAATAGTGCTCAGGTGTGCCTGGAGGAGAATCTGGATGCCTCCCACCCTCCCTCTCAGGCTAAAGGCAGGCCTGAGTGAGGGCTGACCAAGCCTTTGTAACCCTCAAATGTCCCACCAAAGTTCCTCCTGCATATTTACCTCTGTAGTTGTCTGGATTGCGCTTAGCAAGGTCTGAAACCTAAGTCTACCTTGGGGTGCCAGTGACAGTGTCTTTCAGTAGCCTGGCCACCATTATGCTTCCCTGCCCATAACCATAGGCAGTGTCCTCAGTCTTGGACCCCAACAACTGTGTCATGATGTCTGCTCTCTAGCCACACAAGGGAGCTGAGCTGAGCAGAACAGGCCTGGATAGGGCTATAGAGATGTGGTATTGCCTTTCTTTACAATTTGATAGGCAAAAAGCAGCTGCCAACAGAACAGGTCGAGCATCCTGCTCCTTCAAACCCTTTATAAGTTTTCTCCACTCCAAAACCTGTCCATTGCCATTTCAAGGATTTTTCCTCCCCTTGTCTGGAGTGGACCCAGAATCAAGTGCTGGATCTTAAGGCCACATCTAAGGTGTGGCACAGACTGCAGTAGCAGACCACATGGAGTGTGGGAACTCAGGGACCAGAGCACTGATCCCCAGACCCAGGTTCAGGCCTCTGCCCACCAGTCCCAGCCCTGCCCACAGTCTGCCACTGGACATCGTGTCTTAGTCACTGTCTTGTCACTGGGACACAGTACTGGCACCCACAACTTCCAGGAAGAGAGGTTTATTCTGGCTCAGAGTTTGGTGAGGTTTTAGTCTGTAGTTGGCTGGCTCCAAGGCAGGCAGCATGGCCACGCGGGGCATGGCAAAGGAGGCTTGCTCACCACATAGCCCTCGGGGAGCACAGAGAGAGGACAAGAAGGAGACAGACCCTTCCAACAACTCGCTTCCTCTGACCAGACTTTACCTCCCAAATCGCAGCGAGCTTTGAGCTCAGCCGTGGACCGGTTGATGAGTGTTACACTCCCAGGATCCAAGCACCTCCCCAGTGCCCCACCCGGCAGCCCATGGTTTTAAAGGAATTCCGAGCAATAAACTGAAACAGTCCTCATTCATGTTTGCCCTCCTGTCTCTCCCATTCAGCTGTCCAGGCACTGGCCCAGAGTGACCGGAGGCATCATGAGCTCACCAGGCAGGTCACGGTGCAGCGGAAGGAGAAGGACTTCCAGGGCATGCTAGAGTACCACAAGGACGATGAGGCCGCCCTCATCAGGAACCTGGTGACAGGTCAGAACCCACCAGGGCGCACCCCACAGCAGCACTCACACCATCTCTCCACTTCCAGTTCTGTCCACAAATGGCCCCCCTCAGCCCCAGCCTCACACAGCCTCACCCATGCCTCGCCCTCATACCTACCATTCCAGCTGCCCCTAACAACCCACTGCTTTTCCAGGTAAAAATTCCATCCAATTGGAGCCTCCTATAAACTTGGGAAGGGGAGCATCCCTTCTGCCTATGGTGGGTGAGGACAAGGGAGCTACCAGGGTGACTCAGCTGCCCCTCACCTCTCCCCAGCACAGCCACAGTCCCCTTTCCTTGGTGAAGCTTGGTATGAGTGACAGCACACTGGAAGTCAGCTCAGGTTTATGGGCGCCCCCACTGCAAGAAATTCTGCCAGCCACCTTGGCCTCCTCCCCTTGTCTTTATCCTCACAACAGCCTTTTCAGTGGCTGCTATGCTACTCTTGTTTTATAAGCAAAGCTGCAGCCATTCTAGAACTTCTCTTGGTCATACAGCAGGCCTGCAGTGATCACAGACTCAGACTCCTTCCGTCTGGCAAGACTTTACACTTCCTAGGTGCTGTGTGATGGAGCACATGTGGGGATGGGTCTGGACTTAGCCTGTTTCCAAACATGACCCTTTCTTCCAGGCCGTGTAGCTGAGGACCAGTGTTCTCATAAGTAAGCACCACTAGTACAGAATGATGAAAAACAAGGTTAATAATATATTGCTCACAGCGTGGTCCAGTAGCATCAGCATCCCCTCAGAAAATGCTAGAAATGCAGAATTCCAGGTTCTGCTATAGACTTCCCGAATCAGAATGGACATAGCAAGAAACCAGATAATTCACCTCCTCACTGCAGTCATGATGAGCACTGAGTTCATGCACGCAGAGGGTCAGGGGACAAGAAAAGCATTACAAGTTTAAAGAAATTCAGTGCAGGCAACTGAAGTCCACTGCACAGAGCACCTCTGCCTAGGTCAGGACTACATGGGTCCATCAGGGAAGTTCATCAAGATGAACAATACAGTCCCTGCATTCACCCACAGGTTCTCACCCAGGCATACGACAGTGTCAGGGCTGACCTGCCTAGCCCTGATGCGCTTGCCAGAGTTACCAGGCAGCTCTTGGAGCTGCTTTGCAGAGCCCCTCCCCACCCCAGTTTGGTCCTCAGCTGCCAGGAAAGGAGAGCTTCCCTGTTACTTTCTGCCCCTCAGGGTTACTCTTCCTGGATAATCAGTGAGTGAAGTCTGCCTTGTATTTGCCAGTTGCTCACCTTTGCACTTGGATAATTCTGTATGGATAATTCCACAGAGCTGGGAGAAGGAGTTGCCCTCTAGACCATCGTGCAGAGCAGCTCTTTGGGGCTGCTCTCCGCACTGACCTCAGAATGCTTTGCCAGTCATATCAGCCCCTCCCCCTCTGGTCTCATGCCCCATATGCCTTCAACAGGCCACCTTCATGCTGTGTGCTCAAGCCCATCAAGCAGCTTCATGCACAGCCAGATGGAAGACTCTTAGGTGGTCTCACCCTCTGCACCCCAAGGACTAGCTCCCTTCTCTGTGGTACCCTGTGTCCCCATCTATAAAGTAGCATAGTAGAACAACCTTCCATACCACATCACATGACATATAACAGGGGAATGTCCTGGATGAAAACTGTACAGCCTTCTCACAAGGAGGAATTCAAAGAAAGGGCAGCTTTTGCTGGGCTGGTAAAGTTCAAGTAAGAGACAAACATTGCACGTGTAAAGGAGGCTACTAAAGTCCCTCCTGCTCCTCAGCACTGTGCCTAACTCTGGGGCACAGGAAAAATGAGGTGCAACCTCTCTAGAATGCACTTTCTTCCAGTTGTTTAACTTGAACGTTTTTAGTAGCACACTTACAACTGAACGTTTTGCTCTTTTATCGGTGTTCATTTGCCCTGTAGTTGTCCAATGATTAAATGTGACACAAGTTCACCTGAAACTTCTTCAAACAGGCTGCATTAGGAACAGACCTTTACACTCTAGTGAATGAAGCTCAAAGTTCACAGCACCAGGGTTAACTAAATAAGACTATTTAACTTTAATAAGTTAAATAAATAAATGCCAAGTGGCCTCTTGCTGCTGTTATTGCTAAAGTGGCTCCAGGCAAGATCACCTTCTGCTGAGTTACCCAGGAAAAGCACCCAGTCACCAACCCCTGCAGAAGACCCCATCCGAAGAGAGGCCACCTCTTAGAAACTAAGCACTGGCATGTTGCTTTGGAGGAGAGAAGGGCATGAAGTCATGGTCTCCTCCCTACAGATGCTAAGATTTAGCTGGGATGCCTGAGCAGGGCTGTTTAGTCATGGTAAAATGTCAGGGCTAGATGTCTAGGCCTAATTTTTTTTTCTGGATAAATGCTTTTCTAATTAGAACTAAAAGACCAATTGGCACCCACTTGTTGAATTTACAGAATGTCTAAATGTTACACCATGTACCCAAAGTATTAAGGCCTGCCATTATCCTTTAACTGGAAGGCTGCATTTGAAAGGATGATGTAGCCAAGTAGCAACTGAAGATGTGGCAGCATGACCCACCCCACAGATCAGCCCCAGCAGAAGTCCTGAGGATGCTGCCTCCCTGCTGGCAGACTGTGGGTGGCCTCCGCTCCTTGCATTCCAAGGCAGAGGGGCTCCGCAGCTGTTGGTTTGGGCAGGTAATGAGAGTGAAGACTGAGGGCAGGGATGTCATGGGAGCCCCAGTGAGACTTCCAGGCTTGCCTTGGGCCAGGCCTTTCCTCTCATTTGTCTGAGCTCCTGCCATCCCTTATGTCTTTAAGCCTGGTTTGCTGGCTCCCTCAGCACGCTCAAGCTTAAAGCGCAGCCTGACAGTTTCTGCCTGGCTCTCCAGAGGCTTTAGCAGGAAAAGGTCAAAGAGCTGAGTATGAGTATGCAGGTCATAGGGAGAGTCACGAGGCCCTCGTGTTCCTATGACAGCCTGCCTGGGGAAGGTGGGCAGGGGGGTGCAGAAGGGAGGGTCTGGAAGAAGAGACTGGCCGGGGTGGGGGAGGTGCTGGCAAAGGGACAGAGGGGCAGTGGCCTGTTAGGGTGGTTTGGCTATGAGACATCAGGGCTGGGGCTGCCACGCAATTCAGTCCCAAACTGAGGACTGAGGACAAAGGTTGTTCCCAGTCCTTGGCAAACAGGTTCTGTCTTTGGAAAAACCCACTTTGCCACAATCAGCTGGGGCCAGCCTTTGTTCTGTGTCTGTTGGAGAAGCAACTGTGCTCACACGAGGGAGTTGGTGTGCCAAGAATTAGTAATTCAGGAGTACTCACCAGTAAAGAAGCTAGTTGCTGTCCACAGCCTACCTCTGGCCACAGAGTCCTTGTTGGTAGAGGACCAGCATGTCTCTGTGTAACCGGTAGGCCTTTTTTGTATATGTCGTAAGGATAAGGGTTTAGGAGCCAGTCTTAATATTGTAGGACAAACTACTAGGAACTTTTGTTTTTGTTTTGATTCTTTTTGCTCGGTCTTTGAGACAGGGTCTAGCTTTGTAGTGTTATCTGTCCTTGAACTCCAGATGATCTTCCAGCCTCAACTTCCAAGTGCTAGGGTTGAGTGTGTACTACACACCTAGGTAGTTTATTTGTTTTTGACTTGTGTCTGAAACTATTAGCAAGTCAGAAAGGATTTCCATATTCTGAGCACTTTCTTTTCTCCTGACCTAGGTGAGTTGCAAAGTATTACTATAAGCATTTCTGTTTGAAGTGAGGATTCTGACAGCCAACGTGTCCCCATAGATCTCACACTTGCTGTCACTGTTTCAGACCTGAAGCCCCAGATGTTGTCTGGCACGGTGCCCTGTCTCCCTGCCTACATCCTTTACATGTGCATCAGACACGCGGATTACACCAACGATGACCTCAAGGTGCACTCGTTGCTGACTTCCACCATCAATGGCATTAAGAAAGTCCTGAAGGTAAGGGCCTGTGTGGAAGGCTGGGGTTCACAGTAGACTGGAAGAAGGTGGTACCTCCCTGTTGCTATTCCCGTATGGGCTCTGCAGCAGCAAGTTTGCTCAAGCCACCAACTGTGCTAACAGGGATGCCCCGCAGTTCCTAGGGGAGCATGCTCAGGCTCAGAGATGGCAGGGGGGCCCAGAAATCCAGTGTTGACCTCAAACCATCTCTGCCAGGCCTCCAGAGACACCCAGCGCTGTGCTTAGGGAAGCCTTGGCTGCCCAGCACCACAGACACTAGGGAGATAGCCGTCCTGCTGCAGCCAGTGGCGGGCGGGCCTCACTCTGGACAGAGTTCATGGCCACGTCTGGGAGCGGGCGCTCTTGCATCTCTCCAAAGGGGCCAGGCGCTTGCGGCCCAGGGTGCGGCACGGGGAGAACTCTTTTTTCTTTTTTAATTAATTTATTTATTTTTTGGCAAAACCAGGGATTGAACTCAGGTCCTTGTGCTTGCCAGGCAAGTGCTTATTCCACTGAACTATCACCCTGGCTCCTTTTTTTTTTTAATTAATTTTATTGAGAAACAAATAGAAATGAGACAGTTTCAAAACTGATTAGCAGGACAGTTTCAATAATTAATACATTGCATATTGTTGTCTTCATAGTGGTTATTCGTAGTACAAGATGCAGACAGGATATCCTGCCCAAACACTATTAGTACAAATCTTTCTTCTCATTGAATTAAGAGAAAGTAGCGGTGTATCTATCCTAACGATTTTGTATATACAAATACAAAATGGTCCTTCATTTGTATCCCTTTTTGTTTAGTTTGTCAGAGATGGATATTCCATTGCCATTTAAATATTGTAGGTGCATGAATTCAGCACAATAATCCAGTATACTCCAGTAGTCCATAATAGTCTCTTGATATTCATCAGCTTACTAGGTGACGCAGCCTGGACCAGGACCTGCTGTCACAGGCATTGAAACAGTTCAGGTGTGATGCCTGAGACACAAGCTCTTCCCAGTGTAGATACAGGCTAACCTGCCAAGTCAAGGTCTGCCCATAGACACTGGACTATGTGTGACAAGATGAGACTTTTGAGGGAAATTTGCCCTCAGGGGCTTCCAACTCCGTGCAGGCCTGAGCCCCAAGTATTACTGCTCTTAGACACTGCCTTCAGTTCTCCCCCTTACTGTCACTTCCAGACGGAAGCCATTCTTAAGAGCACTGAGGCCAAACAAATTCTGGGTCTACTAGCCCAGATTCCCACCAGGAGCGCACCAAGCCAGCCTTGAGCTCCTGGCTTCATGCTCCTGAGAGTGGCGTTGCCTTCTGTACCCTAGTCTCCATGTGCAATTTAATTCGTTCACAGCACCAAATATGTGTTATCCACATTCTAGACTCTCAAAGTGTGTGTCTCTGGCTTTGACCTCTTTAACAACTTTCAGGTGGAGTCGTGGGTCAGTTCAAGGCAGCCCAGGTCTGACTCTGTCATTTCCTTAGGGAAGCCTTCCTGCTGTCCTGAGCTACATTAGCACCCCACCCCTCCAGCCTTTTTTATTGGCCACTCATACCACTCTCAGCCATTTAAATAATGATGCTGCTTGCCTCAGAGAAAGAACTCTATGGTGCAGAAGCTGAATCATAACTGTTTGGGTTGCTAAGTGGCCTTTGTCATTTAGTTATGAATTTGTTGCTGTGTTCTATACTTAACATCATGGGACACCTGCCCTCCACATCTGTGGAACACCAGATTATTTCACTGCCCTGCTCCATCATCCCTGCATTGAAGAGCTGGTAGTTTGGAATCAGGGCCAGCCAGACCAAGGGCTTAGACTAGTACCTGAGGCCACAGGGCTGAGCTTCATCTTACCACTTGGCTTCACATTCTTCCACTGTGGGGGGCAGCTTTTCTTCATGTGTGTTCCTGAAAGCACAGCACTAATCAGGGGAATAGATCTCCATCTATTCTATGGGGATCTAAGTATCTTGTAGTACTTCTCAGTAAGCGGTCTCCTCTCTGACTGGCAAGAGCCCAGCCAATCAGGGCTGCTGGGGAGTGCTAGGTGGTAGTGGGGAATGTGGAGGGACAGAGACAGTGAGCATTTCACCTGACAGGAGCCACTTAGCTGGGGATCTCCATTTCTTCTCACAGAAGCACAATGACGACTTCGAGATGACAACATTCTGGTTATCCAATACCTGCCGCCTCCTTCACTGTTTGAAGCAGTACAGTGGAGATGAGGTGAGTGCTAAAATGGGTTCCCAAAAAGCATCCTTGATTTAAATCCCTTAAAATGATGTAAGGTCATTGGAGCACTTCTGGGACCTCAGACTGGGCAGGCCTTATCCCTGGGCCTAGTTCCAGGTGGCTTTAATCATCCCAAGTGTCACTGACACTTGCCCCTTTAGTAAGTAGAATTAATAGAAAAATTAGTTTGCTTAATTCACCCATTGCCAGGGTTTCTCCAGGGAAATCCTTATGCCCTTGTATTTCTAAAGCCATTCTAAAGAGACCATTTCCATGAATGCTGGAAGAAAGCTGAGTTGTTTAGTGTGCCAGACCATATCCTAAGTCAACTGATTAGTTGTCGTATTTGGGACAGGTAATGAGAGGCAAGTAAGAAGGCAGTGCCTGATCAGAACTACACTGGCGTGAACTGACCTTGAGGGCCCCCTTTGTGCTTCCACCCAAATTGGACTCCTTATCCAATGATTTCAAATTTGTCTTGAGGCAGCTGACACCATCATGTCATGTTTCTCTCTAGACCCTGGTCTCTGAGAGCCCCTCCCCTGTGCTCTGCATTTAGCCTGGCGACCTCAACACAAATGAGCTTTCCACCTAGCATCTGGAATGGGAGCCTCCCTGGCTCCAGCCCTGCCCACACCCAGGTCCCTGTAGGTCTCCTCTACTTTCCTTTCTCTCTTGGTTTTCACAGAGCTCACTGTTCACACTTCCCTCAATCAAGGTGTAGTCTACATGAGAACCATGCAATCGTTTTTAAAAATATGTTCTATCTTTTATGCCAGAAAAAATATGGACACTTGCCTCTATGAGACAGTACAAGGAAATGTCAGCCCAGTCCGTCTACCTTCTTTAGATGGTGGACTGACTTAATAGCTCTCCTGAGACTGAGAACCTCTGTTTGATCATCTGCTTTAATTCTGAAAGGGATAGGTCATGGTGGAAGGAATGGCCTTCTGTTGTGTAACTGTGACACAAATTATTCTCACTTTAGGTGAAGAGTGATACTTAATGTCATCTCATTGAGATTTATCACTTTATCTAATGTTAACATATATTCTAAATAAAACGTAGATTATTGTTTCTTGTGCTTATGTTCTCAGAGAAGACCTTAACCAGCACCCAACCAGGTCTGGGGAGTCTAAATGAAAAAGAATGAAGGACTATCTTAGCAATCGCAGTTACCTCCTATTCCTCTTGTTTTTGTTATATTAAAAATGTTTTATTCCTTGGCACAGTGCAAAGGCTTTGCTAAGGATGTCACCTTGCTGAAAGCACTGCTCTTTTTAGCTGCTATAGGTCTCCCTTGGCCTAAATGAAAAGGAGATTAGTCAATGAGTCCTTTCAGTGTCCTTCTAACATATATATATTTCATCCAGTTAATATAGAAAGCTAAGAGGACACAGTGCTAGCCTATGAAATTAGCTCACTTCTTCTGTTACTTCTGATACTCAGTAATAGAAGCCATGGAAAGTGTTCTGTTGTAGACACATATAATCTGGCCCATGGTCATGCTTCCTTAAGGGCTTCATATGCTCTAATATTTTCAAGAACCTGAATAGAGACTGCAGAAAGCATGGATCTCTTTTCTCTAACCTGGTACCAACCTACATTTTGGTACTTTTGTTGTTGTTATTTTTTAATTTGGTATATGGTCTAGCTACATAGCTCAGACTCATAGTGATCTTCCAGTCTCAGCCTCCCCAGTGCTGGGATTACAGGCATGCACCACCATGCCTGGTCTTGGTAGCCAGCACAGCATGTGGTACTCGGGATCAAACCCAGGTCCTTGTGCTTGCCTAGCAGGTGCTTAGAGTACAGAGCTCTCTCTCCAGCACCTACATTTTGGTATTTTAGAGAAATCATTTTACTTCAGGGATTTGGACTCCATAATTTAGGCCTTTTTAATTACACAATTCTGACTTCTCTATCATATTGGGTGAGTTTTTTACATTGCCTTTAAGTTCAAGGGCTATCATCTAGGCCTTAAAAACTGATAGGACTTTGTGGAACATCTTTTAAGTAGGGAGTACATGGGAATTACTAATGTGACTTGTCTGTCTTTTCTCATTGCTGCGATACAATACCTGACACTTGCAAATTAGAGGAGGAGAGGATTTTGTTTGTTGGCTCACAGTTTATAGAGGTTTCAGTTCACAGACACCTGTCTCCAAGGCAAGGTGAGATAGCAGAGGAGACACAGCACATGGGCAGCTCATGGAATGGCCATGAGACACAGAGGGGGATCAGGAAGGAGGTGGGCCCTTCCAGGCCACGCCACCAGTGACCCACCTCCTCCAACCAGGTTTCAGCTCCCACCTCATCTTTACCTATCAACTCATCCAAGGACTAATCCTTGGACTAATCTGCTAAGTATCATGTCCCCATGATCCAATCCCCTCCCCAAAGGCCCCACTTATGAGTGCATGAAACATTAAGGAGAGTATCTAGGTATGAACCATAACATGAACGGAGCCTCTGAGGCTGCTCTGAGCTCAGGAGATGGATCATAGACCCTAAGAAATGCACATCTCTCCTCTACAGGGCTTCATGACCCAGAACACCGCGAAGCAGAATGAGCACTGTCTGAAGAACTTTGACCTCACTGAATACCGCCAGGTGCTGAGTGACCTTTCCATCCAGATCTACCAGCAGCTCATTAAAATTGCGGAGGGCTTGCTGCAACCTATGATAGGTAAGCTGGCACAGATTTCTGGTAATTGTCCTGGAGCCTGAAGAAGAAGTGGCTGTGGTGAGCTCCTCTGCCTTCTGGGAACCAAATACATTAGCCACGGCCAAGGCTTCCTTAGTGAGGGCACAAGTAGGTATGCTCACCATTCCTAAGTGACCTGTGAAATTTTCAACACCATCCCGTAAAGAACACACATTATGGAAGTATGGCAATATGATTAAAAATATATATAATCCTCTTATCCACTACATGCTTAATTCTTTTTTTTTTTTGGTGGAACTGGGGATTGAACTCAGGCCCTTGTGCTCACCAGAGAAGCACTTATTCCACTGAGCCATCTCCCCAGCCCCTACGTGCTTAATTCTGATGGAAAGAAAGCATGTGGGTTCATGTGAAAGAACACAGCAGAAGCCCTCAGGCAGTAAATATTTATCGAGCACGTACTCTGGGCAAGCAGTAAGTTCACTAGTGCACTAAACATGAAGTCAGAACTGAAAATCAAGGCAGTGATATTGCCAGTTACAGGCGGCACACATGTACATCACTCACTGTACCCACTGAAGGCTTGGGAGGGAACCGAACCCCCCCTTGTGTGTAACGCCTTCTCTCTATTCTTACAGCACAGGTAGGTTACAGGTGAGTTCTAGATAGGATCAATCCAGAAGGCCATCTCCTGGGAGCAGGTCACTCCTGCCTCTCTGGTAGTTCTCTAAGGCACTACACGGGGAGACGGGCATCAAGCTGGAGATACGTAAGAACTCACAATACTGTAATGGTTGGTAAGACCAATTCTGGAGTCAGATCTAGCTTCAGATCCCAGCCCTGCCACTTCCTTGCAGCATGACTTATAGGCCTATTACTTTATGCCTCAGTTTGCTCACCAATGAAATACAGTGCCTCCTCGGCTCTTTGGATGAAAGAAGTACTATGAATAAAATACCTGAAACACAGTTAAATCCTGCTCAGCAAGTGAGTTGGAATTATTAAGCTAATATTGACATAGTGGCAGGGCGATAGCTACATGCAAATTTCTCAGTTCTCAAACTACTCTCAGCACAGACAGTATAGAATCAAACCCACTTGTGCATTATCTTTATCCCATCACCAATTAATTTAAGTGAAAATTTGGCCCACAACTATTCCATATATAATTCCAACACATTAGAAAGTTTTTGCAAAGTTCCTGAGTGTGTCAACATTGTACACTCTGTATTGCATCTTGCTGAAGTCACAAGTACTGTCTGATCTGAGCAGTCCAGTGGCAGAGCTTGCTTGAGGGAACTATGCTTTTCTTTCAGTTTCTGCCATGCTGGAAAATGAGAGTATTCAGGGTCTATCTGGTGTGAAGCCAATGGGCTACCGGAAGCGCTCCTCCAGCATGGTAGATGGGGATAACTCCTACTGCCTGGAAGCCATCATCCACCAGATGAATTCCTTTCATATGGTGATGTGTGACCAGGGCCTGGATCCCGAGATCATCCTGCAGGTGTTCAAACAGCTTTTCTACATGATCAACGCAGTGACTCTCAACAACCTCCTCCTGCGGAAGGATGTCTGCTCCTGGAGCACGGGCATGCAACTCAGGTGGGCGGTGCCGCACTCAGCACACAGTGGGCCCGACACTAGCTGGGAGCCGAACACAAGGCATTTGGCTCTAGAAGTCAAGTCTGAATCTGTTTCTCCTTGTCACAGTATATGACTCGAATCTCCATCTCCTTTGTATTGGTTGGTGAAACTCATCAAAGCTGAGGTGATAACTTAGGAAACAAATGAAAGCTTAAAGATTATATGCTCTAAAAACTAGATCGAGGTGGTTAGGTCAGAGAGAAATTGATGAGTTAAGAGGCACAAAGGGAAGCATAAATGTGTTTGTGATGTTAAATGCAGGGTTTTTAAATTAAGTATATTTAATGCCTCTCCCAAACTAATTTATATAGACACATGAGGTATTTAATCTTTGTTTAACTGTAAGCACACATTCATTCATTCTTCATTCAAAAGACAGCTGAGTGCCAACCACTTCTCAAACTTCTAGCCCTGTGAGATAATTAAGGTGAAAAGAATGATGATAGGAATTGCAGTGGGCCCTTGAAACACAAACAATAAATTACATCTTATCGATGCCCTTGTGCCAATAAATTACTTTTTACCTAAGGTACAACATAAGCCAACTTGAAGAGTGGCTTCGAGGAAGAAACCTTCAGCAGAGTGGAGCAGCTCAGACCATGGAGCCTCTGATCCAGGCGGCCCAACTTCTACAGTTAAAGAAGAAAACTCGTGAGGATGCAGAGGCCATTTGCTCTCTGTGTACCTCCCTCAGCACCCAGCAGGTAGGGTTCTTCTAGGCCTTTGGCAGCCCTGGCACTTGAGGTACGCCCCACTTCTGTTCCCATCTCTTCTTCCCAGAGATTCTTCTTAGTGTTCTTTCCTGGCCTTTGTAAGCCCTCCTGATTCACTTCTGAAGTTGCCATTGATGGGATGTTCCTAACCAGCCAGGAGCCACCTTGGTCTTGTGAGCTGCTTCCCACAATTCTCATTTGCTTACTTGGAAGATAAAGTAGCAAGCCTATAGTACATCAAGCCCAAGTAACAACATTTTTAAAACAGTGAATTCTAGATTGTTTTTTACCTAAATTATTTTTTATATTCTGAAGTAGTATCAAGCATTTGCTTTTTTTATAATCATTTGCTTTCTTTGTAGTTATAATTTCAATATGGTCCTGTTTTAACTGATGACTCATATTGGTTTTTTGTGTAAAATCATTGAGCAACATTTAAGTGCCTGTTGTATTTATAGTACTATTTGCTTGTAGATGTATTGCCATTATGTGTGTGTGTGTGTGTGTGTGTGTGTGTGTGTGTGTGTATGTGTGTGTTTATATTAATTCAAAGGCAGGGAGAATTTGCCCTCTATTTTAAGTGTATCTATTTGGAAATGAACCGTGAAGACCAGTATTGTACAAGGAAACTAGGTTTCCAAACTAGATGCATCTTCTTCTCAGCCAGCACCTAGAAACAGCCAACTCCAACTCAGTACTGTAGTTAGTTGCTACCCCCTCCAATAACTACTAAAAGATATATTATCAAAATCTTAATAAAATTGCTTCCTCCTGCAAATGTACTGAAAGTTTTCCAGCTTTTCTCCACTTTAAAATATATTTTACTTTCACAAGTTTACTCCTGAAATGCAGCTGGCTTTGCACTGGGGCAAGCTACTTCCATCATTCACTTGGTTGGCAGAAAAAAGATTCTCTCCACTTCAAGATTATCTCCTTCCCCTGTGATGCTCTGGACTGGCTTCCCAGTGTGGTGATGTCGTCTTGGAGGGGAGGAGAGGGCATAGGCTTTGAGTAAATATCCTTCCTGGCCACCCACTCACTGTGAGATCTAGTCAGGCCACCACGCCAGAGTCTCGGCTCCTTATCCAGGAGCCAGGGACACAGCCCCTCCAGATCTGGGGGAGGGGTGAAGGAGCTGCATACAAGGCTGGTGCTTGGGGCATAGCAGCTGGGACCAACACCACTCTGTCTGGAGCTGAGGCTCCATTCCAGATAAGAAACACTCATGTGTAAAACTTTTTTAGTTGGGAGAAGCAGGTGTAAGTGTGATTAGGTGCTTTTAAATAAGACCTTTCTCACCTGACATTGTTCCATCTGATCTATAGGTTCTGTCTATAGAGGATTATTCACTTGTACCAATGCTATGTAATCTCTTAAAGTTCAAAAGTTGATTCATTTCATTTAGCTCTGTGCTAAACTTTGTTTTCATTCCAACAGATTGTCAAAATTTTAAACCTTTATACTCCCCTGAATGAATTTGAAGAACGAGTAACAGTGTCATTCATACGAACAATCCAGGTGAGTTTATTTATTTTTATTGATACTGGAAATTGAACTTAGGACCTTGTGCTTGCCATGCCAGGCAGGTACTTGTGTCACTGAGCTAAATCTCTAGCTCCAGATGAGTTTTAAAATATGAATCAATTTTTTTTGAACATTCATATATTAGTGCTTTAAAGAGTCCCAAAATCCAGAAACTTCTTTCTTTTTCTTTTAATACATTGTTTATTGTTACCTTAGTGGTTATTCATAGTAAAAGATGCAGACATGATATCCTGTCCAAATACTATTAGTACAAATCTTTCTTCTCATTGAATTAAGAGAAAGTAGCTGTATATCTATCCTA